CATCCTTTTTCAACATTACATCAATGAAGCATCTTTTTGTATTTCTTTTTCATGTTTGGATTTAAACTTTAAAACAGAAAAGTAAGAACAAAAACAAACAACAAAACAGGAAAATAGTAAAAACAAATTATTTTGTTTTTTTATTAATTATCATTGCCTAGGTTAATAGGATAATTTTTAGCTTTGGCATTTATTAGATGCCGTTAATATGCCAATATATCATGTATGTTATAGCATTAATGCTAAGAACGTTGTCCCAATCATTCTACATGTATGCTAGCTGGATTAGCATTCACCATAATCATCATAATTCATAATGATCCATCAATCAACCATCTTCATTGCTTTTTTTTTCTACATGACTTTTATTATGGTTTATATTAAGAAAAAAAAAGAAGAAAAAATGCAGCTATACATTCAATATATAGTAAAGAGAAAACACCTGATCTTAACAAACAAAAAAACAGGACTTTATCATACATTTGGTATAAGTAAACAGTAATTCATAAATTACAGAGTACCGCGGAAGTATGGATCACCAAAAAATGAAGTGGAGAATGTACCACCAAGGTTAGGGAAAAGTGTTAGGAAACACATCAAGAAGAGTACACAACCCCAAGCAAACCTCTGATTTCCAAGTGGGGTGATCTCGTCTTGTGCTGGTACTTCCTCTCCCCCGCGGAAGAAGGTTGCAAACAGTCCCCAGGCCAGACATAGCACGCTTCCACTTAACCCACCTATACCAAGCAACAGGGAAGTCGCGAAAGATAATAATGTAGCTGTGCTTCTGCCAAACATAGCTTGTGCAATGCGCCCACCTTCTAGTCTTCCACATGGTAACAGGTTTAAAGATGTAACAACCATACCTGCAAAAGAAGCGATGACCAAAATGTTATGGTGCCAATTCATTCTCAACATTCATGCTTTTGAGCTCAAACAATAAATTACTGAAAGAGAAACTCACCTAAAAGTCCAGCAAAAGCAAGGGGATCAACAGGAACTCCCACACCTTCAACAGCATAAGGCAGCACATTCCCAAGATCATCAGTATATGGTCCAACAACGTATTGGATGAAGGAGAACAACGGATTGTTATAAAAGAACTGAGGTCTTATGTACCTGAAAAAAGAAGAGAGGACAATAAGCAGAAGTATCATAGAAAAGACTGCAGAAGAAACAGGACAATCAAATTAATAAAAGAGACAAGTATCGATATCTTGAAAATTTCTCATATTAATGACTTACATTGCGTTGTCGCCTCCATTAAAGCTTCCATCAGCCACGAAAGCAGCAACTGCAAGTATTAGTGATGTCAAGTATGCACTTGCTGTACGAGCAACCGGAATATCGAATAGAGCCTTTTTATTTGGCAGCAAGGACTCATAGTTATTCATAACACCCAGGCACCCAGTCCAATTGGACGGAACAAGAAAAGATGGACTAAGTTTAACACCATAGCGTGCAGCAGTTACTCTTGTGGTTACCTGCCATGCATCAAGAAACATAGCAATAATTAAGCAAGACACAGACATCAAGTGGTAAGTTGCATCGATTTCAGATCTGTGTAATTAGCCATTTTTGTAATAAACCAGTTTTTCATATTCAGCACATAAATCTCTATAATATCAAAATTCTGAACTTACTCGCAACACATCATGGCTATCCAATAGTACGAAACACAGCACATAACTTACACTTTATGCTTGAGTGTTATCTAAAGGTCAAAAGTATGTTGATCCTTAGTTGTACCAATAGCTGAAATGGGACTTCAGTAGAAAAAATCATTTACATGGCAAAAAGAGTTTCTAAGAAACCAAATATTACAAACCTCTGACATAAACAAAAAAGCAAACTTGAGATTTGATCTAAAGTTTTCATGAGATTTAGCAATCAACTCACACAATTTAATGGAGAAATACAATGCATACCTCTGAAACTCCCAAAATGGTCAAGAAGCCTCCAAAAAGAGGTACAACGTTAGCCAAGTAATCATCAATCGTAGCATCAGGCTTAAGGAAGAAACCACTGGTCAAAGCTATAGTGCCAAAAGTTGTTACGGCCAAAGATATAGCACTGATGTAGCCCCACGGAGTACTTAATTTGGTTGATTCAAATTCAAGATCCATCTCTGACTTGGGTTGTACCACACAAGCCTGAAGACGAAGAAAAGCACATCAACGATATTTGTCATTTACACAGTAATCAAATGGAATATTTACTAAAAACATCTGAAGTGACACAAGTTAGTCTTTTGCCCCACACAAATAAATGAATCTCATGTGGCTATCAAAGATCATATACTGTGAATAAATGGAATTAATTAGGAGATTCATTACAAAGGCTTATTCTTCTTACACATCAACTACACCTTTTCTTTTTCATTTTTCTGGACTCCATTAGGTTGAGTTCTTTTCTAGATCACTGTACTTCCTGCTAAAGTGAATTTTAGAGTTACATATACTAAAATAGTTGCAAATTCCGGCTGATAGATTCACAGCTTCCTTAAACCAAGTAACAAACATCCTCAACTAACCATAATGTAGTCCATTCACAGAAGACTTAAGCTAATAGTGCATGATGAAACAGTCATAATTATCTTTTTAAACATCTAAAGCATACCTGCTTTACAATATCATTTGTCTTTTCCTCCATAAACCACAAGACCACCTCCCGTCCAGCAGCCTCTGATAACTTCTTCTCCAATTTGGGTATTACTTCATCAATAGGCCTCCTCAAGTTCCCTATAAAAATTCCCCCGTCTCCAAATCTCCTCACATCAGTCGCGAAGAATGTATCAAAGCCAAAGCAATTCCTTAGCTGCCAAAGAAGATTTATACAAACATGAAGATACACATAGAATAAATCTCCAAGACAATCATGTAGCTATTGACAAGTACAAACATTACGGCAGAGTAGACTAACCATGTATACAAGCACAATTAGTTCTCACTGAATAAGCAGCTCTTAAGTTCATTGAATTATATTGGAACCGAGGCTATCGAAAACAACTTTTCTATCTCAAGGGTAAGGTTTGCCAACATCATACCCCACCCAAGCCTCACTTGGGACCTCACTTATGACTTATGGGATTACAGAGTATGTTGTTATAGTTATTATACTGATTCTATACAACTGCTTAACATGAATACATATGCAAAAAGTGTTTCAAAAATTAGGCGCCGCACCAACTCTGAAATAACTGACTTTAAAATTTGGATTTGCCTCTAGTATAAGGTCCGAAGAAAAGAATAGACTACACCATTTAAACAGAAAATTACCTTATTAAGATCAAGAGCTACAAAAGCTTCCTCTGCTTTTTCCAACCTCTCTTTCTCTTTGGACAAACTGACACGAACCAAATTTTTAAAGAAGCCCACAAGTGGGTTGCTAGTGGTTTCACTATCAAGCTCTTTCAGCTTTCTATCAGCTCTCTTTTTCTCAAGTTTAATAGCAGCCTCAATTGAGGGATTCCCCATAAACTTCTTGAATTCCTCATCTGTCTTCCAATCCATTTCTTGTTGTTTCTCCCTCTCTATCCTCTCAGACTCAGTCTCATGCTGAGGACCACTCTCACTCTCTTGAATATGGGCATCATTCTTTGGAGAATCATTTTCTTCTGAAGCTACAGCCACAGAAGAAGAAGATGAGGGTTCATCTTCTTCGGCAGCTTTAACATAAAAATTCAATCTTTTTTTGTAAGGAACATAAAGATTCAATCTTTTTGGGTTGTACGAGGAAAACGGGAAGAGGGTATTTCGGCAAATTGGGTTCTTGGAAATTGAAGAAATAGGAGGTAAGTAATGGGGCCTCCTGTTTTTGAGGGACCAAGAAGAAGAAGATGAAGATGAAGTAGCAGAAAGAGTTGCCATGTGGATGCGATGAAAAATACTCTAAACTGAAATTGGTTTCTTGGAAATTGAAAAACATTATGGAATCCATTTAAGGAAGAGAAGATTTCGAGTGGAATGTGAAAGAGAGACGTCTAGAAAGTTGGAGAACAAGTACAGGTGCACTGTGTTCTACAGAAAGTGACAATGAAATTGAAATATTGAAACCCCACAGTTATATTTTTGGATAATCAGAAAATTTGTGGTGTAGTGAGATTGGATTACATATTGTTCTTGATATAATATAAGTCCAAACAAATTTGAGCTCAGTCACATCAACATTCGGATAAGAGGACAAGTGTTTTACAAATCGAAAATAACTTTTCTACTTTTTCCCAAAACATATAATAAGGTTTGCATATCTTCTTTTGTAACGTCTTATGGATGACTTGGTTCAGCTTATTCAGGTTTAGGTTAGTTATTGACTCGATTTTTTATTAGCTCAATTTTGTTTTAATTTATTAATCTAGTTAATGTTTAATTCACATTGATTTTTGAAAATTTTTATTAAAATATTATTACAATATTTTTTTATTATTTTATATATTATATATAGTTATAATAAAAAAAATAAATAGTTCTATTAGGTATTAAAAATTTATAAAATAACAAATATAGAACTATTAAAACTTAGTAAAAATTAGATCGGTTGGATTTGAATTTATGACTTGTTTCTAACCCATTATGATCCGGCCATTTTAGCACAAACAAATTTAGATTGAATTTGGTTTTGATTCATTTATTATCTCGATCCATTTTAATCCGTGCATATTTGACCCAACCCCAATTGCACCCCTGTACATTGTAAACACATATTCCTTTTTGTAAGTGTATACTCCTCTGTCCACTTTTATTTGTCATGTTGAGGTTTTGAAAAGTCAATTTGACTAATTTTCAAAGTTAAATTAGATTATATTGATTTGATATTTTACGCAAAAAATTTAAACATTCAAAAACTATATAAAAATTACTATAAATAACAAATATAATATATATTAATATGATGAAAAAATATATTTCAAAATTACTTCTATAAATAGAAAATATGACAAATAATACCATCTTTTACTGTATCTGGTAATGCGACCATTAAAAATGAAAATAGATTTTATTTTTTTAAAAAAAAGGGTGGCAGCAGAGTGATCTTGTGTTTTTTTAGATGCTCAAGCATTGAGCTGCTACGCATTTTGATGGAGTCCACCACTAAATCTCTTCACTTTTCCCTATACAAATTTTACCACTCCAACTCCACAAGCCCTCTTCCCCAATTCAACCATCTTCATTTCAAATTCCCTCCCATTTCCACTTTTCGCCTTCAAGCTTCGAGACGCATTTCCAATTTTTCTCAGGTAAAAATATTCCTTCCTTGCTATAAGTTTTTAAAATTTAAATTGATGTTATTAGTGCTTATTTCGGACTTGGATTTGATTTTCTTAGGATGGTGATGATTTGATCGGCGATTCTCGAAATTGGAGCCGTCATCGAGGCTCAGGCAACATAGTAACCGGAGATCCTGATGAAGATGAAGACGATGAAGACGAAGAAGAGGAAGATCGAAGTTTGGATCTACTCGTTAAATTTATACAGAACGTTTTCAAGAAGCTCTCTCGAAAAGCTAGAAAAGCTGTTCGCTCCGTGTTGCCTGATTCAATTTCTAGTCAATTGGTATTCTTCTGTTTAAATCTCATTATATAACGGTTTAGTTTAACAAAATCAAGTGTTTTTTTTTATTAATAGAATGATAACTCTGATATTGAAATTGACCTCACTCATATATATAAATCAACCAACTATGTTTCTGGCTTAAAATTATTCATGGTCGACTATAGACATTTAAGTTCGTATTGTTGAGATATATCATATTTCTTTTAGCATATCCAAACGGAATGAACCTTGTTTTGTTGCAAAGAAGGAAAACTAATGGATTACATGTGCTTGCTTGGACCTGTGACGTTGGGAGGGGGAAATAATGAAGGAAAACAAAGACATAGCAGCAAGATGATTACCTACTTCACTAATCATGTATGGTGTTTAAAGTATCTGTGAGCCTTTCTTTCCCCCCGGTGAAGGATGATTTGATTCGGTAACTTGTAATCAAAGTTACTTTCTTTTTAGTCCACCTACACTGAAATTATAGGTTTTCTATTATTTGCTTTCTTGGATGTAATGATTTCCATTCTCCACTATGGATAGGACTTCTTTTCCTTTCATTATAAATCTTGATAACATCAAGGATAAAACAACCTATACCCAAGGAAGTTTAGCCTGTGAAGACCGATGCATCTTTAAAGGCATATCATTAAAAATGGCAGCAAAAGGGTACTACATGTTCTATGGATCTCAATGACTCAAAAGATGTAAGATCTCAGGGATTCTGCTTGGAATTTACATCACATAGAGTGCCGTTATGAATCCATTTGGAATAAAACCCAAGATTCGTATGACCAACTGTAACTAACATGAAAAGGCCTCCTTTTACTACGTCAGAATTACAATGTTAACTCTTCTTTTTAGCCTGATCAATGCTCAAAGTGTGAATGCTTGCTCTTTTTAGGAAATTCAGATAATATAATTGTAGTTTTGATAATATAAGGAAGTTGTCTTGATTATTCTTGGAGACCGGTACCATTATTCTTTTGTTTTTTTAAACATCTCTCTGTTGTACTTTTGGTTCTCGTTTATTTGGATCCCAGTTTCTATATGTTATATAAGTATAACTCAATACGAAGTAGACCACCTGTTTTTGTACCGTGTATCAGCCATATCCCTCTCCATTGAAGACAAGATGATTAGCTCTCAGTAGATTAGAATTGACGAGCAAGAAAATGAGGGAACATTGCTTCAGAATTAAAAAAAAAGACTATAATAGAGAACTTTAAACTTCTCTTGATGAAAATGGATGAAGTGGAATGAGCACCCCTGCATGTTTAGCTAACATATCCTGCAACACTGACTCCCCCAGTCAGACAGTCTCTATGCGAGGAGTTTTATATTCCTTATTTAATAATTCGTTATGCAAGCTCACAATGCAATTTTTTCATTTTAAATTTTCATTCTCAGCTCAAGGGTTTATTAGTCTCTCAATTTGAACTGAAGAATTTATTAGCTTCTTATTCATGGATTTTTGTTTTTATATTCCCATTTTGCAATGTTTGAGAGAGTTAACCCCAAGCTTCATTCTCTATTCTGATTTCCCGATGAGTATTTCGACCTTTGTATGACTATCTAGAGTTGCACATGTGGTTCCCACATTGGCTGGTTTTTAAGTTAGTAACATGAGTTTTACTGGATGTAGGTGTCATTTTCTGTAAACGGAGTTATAATTTTGACATTTTTGTGGCTATCAAAGGCAGTTCTTGAGGTAAGTCTTTCACTTATTTTCTGTGATAAGGTGATATGTGGTACTTTACTACTTAACGTACTTACTATTCTAATCTGTCCGTTTACGAAACACGTTTAGGGGACATGTCAGGCTCAATTAATGCATTGAGCTCTTCTAAATTTTGAATGATTCAGCTTTTTTACTCTTTCAAGTTGAATGAATCTTGTGCTCGCTGCATTATACATACTTCCTCCGTCCCAATTTATGTGATACTCTTTCCTTTTCTTAAGTCCCAAAAAGAATGACATCTTTCTATTTTTAGTAACAATTTGATTTTAAACTTCACCTTTTATCCTTAATGAAATAATTTACGGCCAAAGAAAGTTCTCAAAAATTGTTTTAAACCACAAATTTCAAAAGTCATTTTTCCTTAAACTTCATGCCCATGCCCAGTCAAGCATGTTTTGCATAAATTGGGATGGAGGGAGTATATGGTTTTGTACCAGAAGCAGACAGATTATGAGAAAAGATTTAACTTATATGTACTGCCAATAGCATCATAATACGGTTTAGAAGACTCAAGTTGTATTGCTTATTATAACATAAAATCTTGGGCTCATTATTGTGTCTATCGTCCGAGGAATGCTTTAAACCCAAAATTTGTGTTACTTCATCTTATCCTCGGCAGCATGAGAAAATTTTTAATTGTTAGACCTATTTATCGTTACTACTCAGTTTTCACTTCAACATTTTCTGCAGTGTAGATCCCTGTCTTTGTTGATTGATCAATTATACAGTTCTCTCTGTTAGTTGATTCTGTTTAGCAATTAGTATGAAATGAGTGTGCCCCATCTCATCCTGGATTACTCCTCTTAGCAGTTAACAATCCCTTACTATGGTCTTTATCGTTTCCAGGTATTTTGCACCCTTGGGAGTGTACTTTTTGCTAGTATCTTACTTATTCGAGGAGTATGGACAGGCATATCATACTTACAAAATAATGGCAACCTTAGAACAGATGATGATGATGGTCGTGCATGGAGTGGAATGCAACCTACAAGTTAACTGGCTGGACAATGAGATCCCATAGTATTATTCCTGCATAACTGGTAAGTAGCTCATGGAGATAACAAGAAGTTGAGGAACTACAATGTCCAATAATGGCTACTCTGATTTTATTCGAAAAGAAATTTCCTAATACAATAATTGGGTTAAGGCCATTTGAATGAAATCCCACAAGGTCAAAGCTGGATAATTTGTCCTGTTTTAGGTCTATACGGACTGTGTTTGTAACTAGGACGTCAACTTCACTTGACAAAATTTAAACATGGAGCACCAAACCAGAGAAATGTAGCATACTTGTTTACTTGGTCACCATACATATTTATTTTGCTTATGATGTGCCCATAAGGACTTTGATCACGTCCAGTAAACACTAGCACTGCTTGCCATGTTATGTTTTAGATATATTTTTGGTCAACTTGCAGAAAGCAGAGGAACATCGAGGCTGTAATCACAATTGACAATGAGATGGCCTTGCTGGTTCCGACTCCATCAGTGTGATTGATTCTACAGAAAACATTTGACATCAATCGACACTGATGGAGTACCATTTATAGCAATTACTATGTAAATCTGCAATATGTAAAAAAAAAAAAAGGAAAAATGTCTTTTACTCTTAAATAATTAATGATTTTAGCGATACTTTTTATTTAGTACCATTTATAGCAATTACTATGTTAAATCTGCAATATGTATTAAAACTGAATTATGTATGCAATATATATGTATTACAACTGTTTTTAAAAATATATTACGCTTGTTTGGTAAGAAATTGACACATTGTATTATAAGTGTATTAAAATGTGTGATAAATGTATTAATATAACTTGTATTATATTATATGTGAATAATAAATTATTTTTTGAAATATGAAATAAAATTATATTATAAATGTATTAAAAGTGAAAAAAAAATGTTATTGTTATAATGGTAAATATTTTTTATTTGTAGTATATATATACATGTAAGTTTCCCAAAAAAGAAAGAATTTTCCCAATTTGTAAGTTGTAAGAATTGGATCAATATTGGTCCAAGGCCCATAGCCCATTTGATCTGCCCTAACTCGAGCTATAAGGCCGAAGGTTTCATCCTTTTTTGATGGGCTTAAATAGAAAGTTATTAGGACCAAAAGATAATGGAGGTTGTTAAATCAGAAAAAAGAGAGGATTTTTTTTTTTGTAAAATAAAGACAAAACTATACAATTACTAATATAACTTACAACAACACTAATTAATATAATAATAAGATTTTAATTAAGGGTTCGTTTGGATGTGCGATAGACGATGAGAATATGTATAATATTCTTTAATGGAAATTATGTATAAATATTTCTCATGATATTTAGGGGAACTCGTTTAATGCAATTAACATAAGATAAAACATTATATTAATTTGATTATAGGAAACTTGCCTTCCGAAATGAGATTTAAGTTTTAAAACCAAAAGCAATTTCCAATATTACCCTAAATTTAAGCTTCATTTGAGAGAGTGTTGTACAAGTTAAGTTAAAAGCACTTTTCAACATTACAATTAAAATAAGTAACTGTTTATGCCGAAAGCAGTTAATAACAAATACACAGCGCTATCTAAGGGACATGTCCTTGATCAACTCTAAATAAATAATACTGTTATAAAGAGATTTGACAGCGAAAAAAAAGAGGGAGGGTGGAATACACGATCTTTAAAGTGCATGGCAGGATTTTATGCTGTTTCTTATCCTTTAATTTTTCTTTCAGGTCATATTATTACCTTTTTAAATGAATTTATAAGTTATAACTACATAAGAATATCTTTTCTAATTGGAAATATTCTAAATTAAAACTACATGCGCAAGTCACTTTTATATTTTAAAAAAATAAAGAACATGTATAAGAAAAGATAATTACAAAAAATAAATTAAACTGAGCTTCTTTGTTGTTTCTCCTTCACTTGTGCTGTAATTTAAAATAAAGTTTAAATTTAGAGATGCACATTTGTCGGTGGATATGATTCTAATTAAGACACATTGCTTGTGTTTTAAGGTATGTATGCTTTAGACTTAATTTCTCTTATTTGCACCATTTAAGGAGACATCCCTAACATGAAGGAAATATTGGATAAAAAAGAAAAATTCGATAGATATTGATTGTTTCATACTATTATAATCATAATAAATTAATATTTGTCATTTTCTCCGTTTATTTTGGCTTGTATATATTGAATTTTATATGTTCATTAAAAAGTAATAATTGATATGAGTATTTTATTATAATACTTATATCAATTGGTGTTTAGTTTTACTGAAAAATGATTTGGGAAATAAGAAATTAATGGTAAGACTAAAACACGAAAGAATAGTAATTATTTTTGTTGATATGTTAAAAATGACAATTAAAGTAAAAATCTATTTTTTGAAATAGTATATAAGTAAAAAGTGAACGGAGGGACTATTAGGTCTTTGAACTATGATTTGAGAATAAGTTTTTGATGATACAAATAAAATATAAAAAAGATAATTATCTTTTTTTAAAAAAAATTGAACTAAGCAAAAGTGAACAGAAAGATTGCTTCATTTTTGCCTTTGCGCATGTAGTACAGTTACTTTAAATAAATTAACACAATCTAGTTATAAAAGTAATTATAGATTCTAATTATCAATAAGTTTTATAACAATAAATTATAGAGTAGCATCCATGAATAATATATTCTTGAATTTGTTAATTAAAACAGTGGCAAAGCATCTTAATTAAGAACAAGAACTTTGGTTAGTGCTTAATCCGCATTTTGGATGGTTCTTAATAATCTTTAAATTTTGACCGTTGTCCTTGTATATCAGGATAAATAGTCAAATAATATATAAATAAATACTATATATTATTTTGATTTTTGAAGAGTAATATCTTAAGGGCTATATTTACACTACTTCTAAAAATAGCTGAATATGTCAATGATTTCTTAAAAATTTATTTATAGTTTATTTGATCAAATATGTAAAATCAATTTATTTTGAAAAGTATTTTTCAAAAATATATTTGTTTGACTAACCAAATTTTTTTTAAAAACTTTTGGAGACCAAAAATCTGATCAAACACCTCAGTTTTTTGAAATAAACCTTTTGTAGAAAAAAAATAAAAACTTTTAGTCTCCGAAAAAGTTTTTTAGATACTCGAACTCTTTTAATTAGATAATCAAACGTATGATAAAATGGTTTACTAGACATTTCCAAACTAATTTATGATTTTCTTATACGTATTCAAAATCATTTATTAGGTAGATAAAACAAATAAAGTATATCTCCTCATTTAATTATACACGTCAGTCACCGTTAATCAGCCCCTATTCAATTATCTTTAGACTATTTCACAAATAATTTTTTTTTTTTTGAAAAAGGCCTAAAATATTCATAAATATGTGAATTGATATAAAATTATTTTTATTCTATTTTTGGAATCTAAAATACCTTTACATATACCTTTTGACTCTATTATGCCCTCATCTTTATCTCATTAAATCATAAAACTTTTATTAGCTTTTTAAGATGTATTTTTTCATCATATTAATATGCAAAAAATTATAATTTATAGTATTTTTTTTATAATTTTAAAATATATATTTTTTTGGTTTAAAATATCGAATTAAGATGATCCAATTTACCTTTAAAAATTTATCAAATTAACTTTCGATAAGCACAAAATGACAAATAATTCTGAACGGAGGAAGTATCAATTTTATGACTTAAAATACTTCAAAATTTTATAGGAAAGCTTGAAGGGAAAAAAATAATACTCACGTCATAATTCCAATTTATTACATCTCTACAAAATATAATCATTTATTACTTCATCGGTGGTAACTTAAAATTTCAATAAGTTTATCTTTGACTATAAATTTTAATATATATCTTTTCATTTATTAATTCTATAACTTAAAATACTTCAGAGTTTGTGAAGATTTAATATCTAAATTAACAATCAAAGATAAAATGTTTGACTTTTAAAAAAATTTAATTTATATCACATAAATTAAGACAGATCAAACCGGATAGAATCTTTTTAGTGTATGAGTTGTCAGTTCAATACTCTCTCTCTATAAATATATAGCTATTGTCTTTGTCCACTTATCAAATTTTCTACTACTTAGCGTTAAAAGAAAAAAAGAGAGTAGAAAATGGAGGGGAGTTTTAATGTCTCTATGGGTAGTGGAGCCATTGATGATTCTTCCAAGTTTGATGATGATGGAAGACCCAAAAGAACTGGTTTGTATATATATATACACAATTTTATTTTTATTTTTTTACAAATTTTTTTTTTTTTATAACTAATCTCTATTCTTGGAATTTCTAAAGTCAGTTTTTTTTTTTTGTACATGCATTCATGAAAAATTCCCTTATAAGGGGAATCTTCAATCACATAAAAGAAGAAAAAAGGATTAGGAATTTTTTTTTTTGAAAAAAAAAGTAACTAAAAGGGTGTTTGAATTCTTTCTCATCTGTCTAAACCTTGTTGATTAGTAGCGTTAAATCGATTTGCATATATACAAGTTGATTCAGTTATCACATGATTATGTTTTTCTAAAAATAGAAAAGAATTTGACTATGTTAATTCTAAATTCTCATCTGATACAACAATTATTGGATACTTATGGTTAGTGGTTATAACATATAGTGGATTATAGTGCATGTATAGGAGTTGATCTGGACATCATCGTTATTGTTATGATTTTAATTTTTGAAATTTGTAGGAACGGTGTTGACTACAAGTGCTCATATAATAACAGCAGTGATAGGTTCAGGAGTGTTATCTTTGGCATGGGCTACAGCCCAATTGGGATGGATAGCAGGACCAGTTGCACTCATTGCTTTCTCAGCCATAACATGGTTTGCTTCTATCCTCCTTGCCGATTGCTATCGCGCCCCCGATGGCTCTCGTAGCTACACCTATATGGATGCTGTTCGAGCCCATCTAGGTACACATACATATATATATATTGACAGTATAAATTAATTAGGATGGTTGGTATTGTTTTCATTTCCAACACATCATAAATCTTATGTTTGAACGTATTTAATTTTTGTGTGTTGATGTGTTACATTTAAGTTTGAGATGCACATTTATCGAGGTAAAAAGTTTTTAATTCATACGTGGATATACATTTTCGAGTTGAACTATTCGTGATTCATGTAAAATATTCATTGATTATTATTTGTTTGAGTTTAAACATCAATGGTTTGATCTTATTTAAGTTAGATTTGTAACGGTTTGACAATATATTTGTAGGTCAAGTTGAATTGATTGTAGTCAATGGTACAATGTCACGTGGTCATATTTGCACAAAATCTAATAATTTGAAGTGTTAAATAAATAAGAGGATTTATAAAGACTTCATAAGCAAGATATGATAAAATAAGTGGTGTGTTCTTTAGATGAAGTGGATTTATAAAGTCACATCATTAGAGTGAAAGTAGGCATCGTAGTTTTATCAAAAATAGTTTTTTATCACATAAAAATTAAGATAACATTAATATATAAGTATTTTATTCTTTTTATATTCCACTAGTTGAACCACACTGAATATATTGTTGCGGTTAAACTGATTCGTGTGAAAACATGTAATTCAGTTCACACCTTGGAGGGTAATTTAAGAATGGAACATATAGCTGTGTACCATTGTCAATTTCCCAGGAGGAGAAGGGGGTTGTTGGTTGTGAATCATTAATGACTATTCAATATTCTTTATATAAAAGCCAAACCTTTTTTTTGTTTTTGTTGGAACATTTCATTAATGATTTACTTACCTTCTTTCATTATCTTTCCCTCTTTATTTTGCCACCTCAACTCTCTTGAGTTTTGACGGTTTCAATTTACGTGATAAAATTTTGAATTAACATGAAAAAATAAGCGTGGATGGGGAAATAAATTTTTTGAAATTTATATTTTTAAACGTGTCATAATATTTACGCGGTAAAATTTTAATATATTTTGTATGAATGCAGGAGGAAGGAAAGTCCAGCTTTGTGGATTAGCTCAATATAGTAACCTTTTTGGTGTTACCATTGGATATGCAATCACCACATCCATAAGCATGGTGTAAGATATTTGATTTGTGTATTACATTTTTTTGTTTAATCCTAATTCCTAATGATTAATTCTGTATGTTTATTTATCAGGGCAATTAAAAGATCTAACTGCTTTCATAGGAAAGGTCATGATGCTGGTTGTCATGAGTCAAACAATCCCTTCATAATTATCTTTGGGGTTATGCAAATCCTTCTATCCCAAATCCCAAATTTTCACAAGCTTTCATTCCTTTCCATCATTGCTGCTGCCATGTCCTTTGCTTATTCTTTCATTGGACTTGGTCTATCCATTGCCAAGATTGCAAGTTAGTTTACTTTTTCCACATACCTTTTACTTACCTTTTTAGTGTGTTTGTTATGAAATCGAAAATGTTTTCGATTATACCATACACACATGTTTTTTTTTTCTTCTTTACCTAATGGTTTTGTAATTTGATGTGTTAAAGAGGATGGAGTAAGTGCAAATACAAGCTTAACAGGGACAATAGTTGGAAAAGATGTATCAAGCAGAGACAAGATGTGGAACACCTTCTCTGCTCTTGGAGATATTGCCTTTGCCTATGCTTTCTCTATTGTTCTTATTGAAATTCAGGCAAAACAACCTTTCTTTTACTAACTTCAGTTTGTTAAACTTTTCAACTACACTTAAATCTTAACATGTTTTTGGCAACTCAACTTCAACAGGACACTTTGAAATCCCATCCACCAGAAAATAAGTCCATGAAGAAAGCTACATTCACTGGTATCTCTGTGTCAACAATATTTTACTTACTCTGTGGACTTCTAGGGTATGCTGCATTTGGAAACAAAGCGCCTGGAAACTTTCTAACAGGATTTGGATTCTATGAACCTTTCTGGCTTATTGATTTCGCTAATGTATGCATCGTGATTCATCTCGTTGGAGCTTACCAGGTAACATCGAACATCACAAACACGTTCCCTAGTAGGTTTTTATTTTTTGAAGACCGTAGTGTCCAGACCAGCTTTTGCTGGCCTCGACTAATTCCACAGTGATACCTATCACTTCCTACTAGAAACACACATAGTGTTTCTGTCTCCACTGGAATTTAAACCGAGACCTCATGGCTCTCAATCAGTTAACTGACTACTAGGCCACACTCCTTTGGATGCCTGTTCATAGTAGTTTCTTGTCCAATAATGGCGGGTATCTGGAGTAGCTTATCAACACAACGACTATTCCACGGGCACCTTTCACCTCAAAGTACAACCACCAAGTAATTCTATCTACTATGGCTTAGGCTAATGTTCTGTCATAGTCTTCATCCAACTTCATTGGCTACCAGGTCATAACCTTGGGTGCACACATCTAGTGTTTCACATAACAGATCAATTTTATAAATCTCAATGGCAAAGTTCAGTTTGATAATATGTTTGCAGGTGTTCTGTCAACCTATATTTGGATTTGTAGAGGGTTGGAGCAGACAGAAATGGCCAGAAAGTAAATTCATAACAAAAGAATACATGATTAACCTTTCACACTTGGGGTTGTTCAATTTCAATTTTTACAGGCTGGTGTGGAGAACTTTATATGTGGTATTCACAACCATATTAGCCATGTTATTCCCATTCTTCAACGATTTCGTCGGTTTTATTGGAGCAGCCTCATTTTGGCCACTCACTGTCTATTTCCCTATTCAGATGTACATAGCACAAGCCAAGATACCTAAATATTCATTTACCTGGATTTGGTTGAATATATTGAGTTTTGTGTGCCTGATCATCTCACTTCTTGCTGCTGCTGGATCTGTTAGAGGCCTTATAAAATCTCTCCAGGAATTCGAGCCCTTCCAATCTCGGTCTTGAGGTTCCTGTGGCTAATGTGTAGAGAATAAGAAAGGAAGACAAGCACCTCTCCTAAAGCCCCCTTCCCCCTCCAACTTTCCTTTTCTTTTAGTGATGACATACAGAATGGTTTGCCTTCACTAACCTAAGGCATACATATTTCATTATCATGTATTGTAAGACTAATTTCCTAGATTTGGTGTTGCAAAATTGCTATAGGCATAAACCTTTACAATCTTTAAGACTCATTTCCTAGATTTCGTGTTGCAGAATTTCTGTGGTTTTCATACAATTACTACTTATCAAAAAAAAGTTGCTATAGGTTTCACTTAAATCTAATGATATGAAGTTCATGCTTTATTGCACAGGTACAATTATGTATGTATAGGTATGATAATGATATATTAAACTACTTTACTCTTGGTCCTATTTGAGAGAAGTATCATTAAAGGATTCATATGAACACCTTGAGTTGACTTAAGATTTTCTAAACTAAAATATCATTTGGATGCTCATTTGAAGTACTTCTCTATCATTTGCTAGAAGGATTTGAAATCTATTAAACAGTAAAGTTGACATTAATACTACAATTGTGACATTACGAGTTCAAGTTCCATCTAGTACATAGAATCACTAACATCATTGAAGCATATTGGATGAAAAAGGCAACATAAGCAGCTGGACCACTGGTTGTGCAAACAATCCAGAGCTCAAAGTTGCTAGAGAAGTATCACAATTCACAAGTTGTAATATCACTCCTTTTTCTAAAATGGATCAGCTTGAAACTAACAATATTTAATGTCACATTCTGATGAGACCTATTTCAAGATCTAACTCTGGGAGGGGGGAGAAAAATACCAACTGAGTCTCTCACATAATAAGATGCTTGACTTCTAAAGAATTTCTGGGTACTTCCCATCGAAGGGATTAGGATCAATATAAAGAATATACAGTATAGGTTACAGAATGGGAAATCTTATCTCTTGCACATTTTTACAAATTTTACAGTCATAGAAATAAGATTTCTCAGTCAACATAAGTATCTTCTAGCTATCATGGCAATGTCAAACTAGAAAATAATAAGGAAAATATATTCAGGATAAGCAATGGAAACCTTCAAGACATTTGAACAGTATAACTTCATGAAATAAGCAGCAACTCAATTTAGACGTGGAGCTGTCTGTGATATCCTCTCTTCTTCGAGTAGCACATAAGGGTCAACATATGGTGGTGGATCTGTCGATCTGTTGGTCGCGTAATGCACAAAAGAAGGTCCAAAATACTGCCGAGAGAGAAGAAAACAATCAATGGTGAATTAAGAACATAAATTAACTAGCGACTAGTATCATACATCCAAAAAAACATATGAAACACGTGAATTACTGGGCTAATACTACCACCAAAACAAATAACACCTGAGGTATATTTAACTCGTCACATGTTTCATTGGAAATGTTTTACTCATCTTTAGCTTTTTCTCTACTTTCCTGGAGGTCCATATTATGATCATTTGTCAGCCAAATTCAATAAACAGAGACTCTTATAAGCTTAACATTGCATTCAATGAGAACAATTTGTTAAAATTGGTTTTGCCACATTTTGCTGGATCTTTAATTGTTATACTAAGAACAATCAAAATAACTCAATGCAGTTATGGTCTCTTTCACACACCATTAGATAAGTCATGATAGTTGCAATCTTTTTATTTTCTTATCTGATGTGGTAACCCTGTCCGCTGGACTCCCCTTACTCAGGCGCCCAACCATAGCCATTTCCCACTTATCTCTGTAGTGACTCAACCCTCCAAACATAAGGTTGCAGATCAAAGAATATTTGTTTTATGAAGTAAATATTGATGGCATCAAGTAGATGCAGAAGTTACAAAAGAAAGTACAACAGAAAGAAAACTGAGTTAACTCTAATACATGAGAGGATTTTCTAGGATCAGGGAGCTAACAAAGTTCAAAAAATTGTCATGAGAATCTAAGGAGACATATTGTGCCAGTTAAACAGATACATTAGGGTGCTAAGGAAGTTCAAAAAATTGTCATGAAAAACCAAGGACAAAGGGTCTTTACCAGTTACCACTAGGCTAGCTATCCCTCGTAACATGATGGCTACAGCAAGAAGCAGATAACACCAGTAATTTCCTAATTTCAACATTTAATTCAACATAAGCTGCAAGTTCGTAAAAGAGGGATACACCCTTTTCCTCCAAAAATCTAGGAAGCTCAATATCATGTGAACTATACATGGCTGTGCTTAAAGAAAGGTTCTTTTTCCTTTGTTGGGTTATGGAGAAGTCATTCCAGAACAAGACAAGAAGTTCAACAAACTTACTTAAGCAAGAAGGTAAAATGAACAAATTAACTAATTAGAAAATCACTTACCAGGTATAAACCCAAGAAAGCTGCAATAGTTACAAGGATCAACGGCCAAAAAGCCAAAAAGAATGTTCCACCAAGAGTAAGCAAAATTTTTGCCCGTGGAATCAAACCCTGCAAATATATCACATAAAGACGTATGCTTATTAGTTACAGACCCATATAGTGTCGATATAAATTATGTGAAACCAAAAAATATGTAAAATAATATAGCCAATGACTCTTTGAAAATCTTTCATAAGATTTCTGTTTGAACAGTTATTTACACAACTGGACTCCTGTCCTAAAATAGAAGTCATACTTTACCTTCAGTAAGTAATACTTCTCAGTCCTTCCTACTCCATTAAAGAGCAAGTTATACTTCTCAATATACCTTTTTCTCTATTTTATTATACAAAACACAAAGTCAAGAAATGGTAACAACTAATATAATTATTTGTTTCTTTTAAAAACCGTGCAAAGTCAAAATGGAAGATAAATTTAAGGTGGACGGAGAGACTCATAACGTATCAGGTCAAGAACCAATTGCACGACTCTATTCTTGTACCTGGACATTTAGAACCAAAATCCAAATAATGTATAAGGAGGAAACCTGCCCACCTCAAGGCCTTCACTATTCAGTGCCATAGACTGTTCCCTTTGATTAGTCAAATTTCTTTCAGAATCTGTTGACAGTGCATTTCTGCGGTAGAAGCCTCCATCTTCTTCCCTAGATTTTGTCTCCTCGTCTTCTTTGATGTTTGTGTTTGTCTCCTCAAGCAATGAAGTTGGATTCATGCCACGTCTTCTCAACTCTTTCATAAACAATGACTCTGGTGGTTCTTCACCTGTGAGAACCAACATTGGGTTTGAGCTCTTTACAAAAAGAAGAATATATTCAAGTAAAATCCACAAGAACTCTAAGACGGTGTGAAATTGAAAGCTTCCAGATAGTTCGAGCAATTGGCCTATGGTCATGACGCAAGTCAATCCAGTCATTCAACCGTCACCAGTCACATTCAGAAGTATTGTGTAATGAAAAGCCAGAGTTGCTGGAACTTCAAAGATACATTTTTCAAGGGATTGAAGCTTCATCTATAAATGTACTTGGCAGCAGAAGCTAAATTTCTCAATCACTAAGGAATTTACTAATGAAGGATAGCCCACCAGATAGCCAGTCCAGTACCTGAAATACTTCAAATACTAATCCTTTTTCTTGATTGTCACAGACTGTACGTGCAATCGATTGAATCTTGTCCAGGGTCACCTCTCCTTCCTCAATCAAGTAACTGATATTCATTTTTAACTAATCAGAACTTGTTACCAATAATTCAACCTTTCTCATTCTCAAAGCCTGGTGCTTAACTATCACTTAAAGAAATTAATAAGTTTTCCCTCTAGCATGCTGACAGAGCTAGTTTGATGGAAAAACACACTGTTTATACTTGGTTAAAATCATCTTTTTTAATGTTTATATGGTAGAATCCCTTCACTTTCGTATGTTTTACTTTTTTATATTCTCATTCACATATTGAAAATCTTGACTGCCACAGAGTGATGCAACAGGTAACTAACATACATTATCTCCAAGAATGAACCAAGAAAATTGAAATTCAAACAGCAAAAACGATGAAATCAAATATAACTAAAAAAAGACCAACTTTTTGAAAAAAGTATAATAAAAGATTACCATTACTCTGATTTTCGTTGTCTTGAATTCTACAACTAACCCTAAACTTTGTATCAACAAATGTCTTCAAGATTGGATTTTTCCTTTGATATCTCACACCCAAAATCCTTCTTTGTACTATAGTGGAAAAACGACTAGAATTAGATTGAGAAAATGATGAGAATGGAGACTTCAATAACTGTAAAGATGCCATTTTTCAATGATCAAATTTGCTAAAATTCAAGAAGCTTCATTTAGTTAAACGGCGGCAGTATTACTGTTTCTCACTCCACCGGTGTACCTTACAATTTTTTGACAATGATTTGGCAAATTTGTAGCCATAAATATTCAGCCGAGCATCGATCATGTGTGTCGCCGTCCAACATATTTACTTACGCTAGCACCTAGCCAACCAATCACTTTTTTATTTTTCCTAAAAAAATAATATTTGGCCTATTTTCTCATATTCATTTTTGTCCATTTTAGTTGATTCAAGAATGTTTTTTTTCCTTAATTGATATTTAAAAAAATTATATTTAAAATTAATAAGTAAAGTGAAACTATATCTATTAAAATAGTGAACGAGTAAAAGTGAACAAAGGCTTAGATTTCAAATGAATCAAATGATTTGCTTTTAGTAGCTGCAAATAGGCATAATAATTAAAAGAGTTTAACAATCACAATCATAATTCATATATTTATTTTCCTAAAAAGATTGAATATACAAATCTATTTTTAGAGAAGAATATTCTAAAGTGGCTTTTGGGTTTGTCTAGAAGATTAATTAGAGCCGTCAATAATCAACAATAGCAATTCGATTGATTCTTGCACGATTAAAATATAATTGAATGTTCGAACTTATTATCCATATTCAAAAGTTTTGAGCTAAGGCTGGTTGAAAATAGTTTCTCTATTCGATAAAAATAAAACTTTTATACATGTACTTTTTTTTAAATACCTCATCTCTGTGGTTTGTTGCTGTATATACTTGTCAACACTGAAATATTTTATCTATATTATGATAATTATTCGACACGAATTAAAATAAATTCAAATTAATCAATGAATAACAAAAAGGAAGAGATAAAGTTTATCCCTTAGGCTTGTTATTCCATGACTGTACTAAACAAACAAAATGAATCAATGGATTGGAGAAGGAAGAATCCATATTCTTTTTGCACAAATTGACACGTGAAGTATATA